GCCTAATTCTAATGTCTGCTTGATGTGGATTGTGGAGTGGACTACAAAGCATTAATCAGTGTTGGTTTTCATCAGCATACTTCTGCTTTTCACACACATGGAAGCTAACTGCTAGTGTTTCTTACTCTTGGTCCGCATTGACATCAGACATGAATTTCAATTTGATGAATGAGGAGCCGAAACATAACTGCTAGTAAGTGCACAGCCTACTAACAAAAACCGTGACCAAACAACTTCAAGCTGTGAGCCAATTAAAATTGGGTGAAGCTGTCCATTCAAGCAGCCATGCTAAATTTACATAAACTTGTAATAATGATAACACGTTTCAAAATTTGTTACTGGTCATTCCATCAACGTACTTAATTATCTAGCGCTTTAGAGGTTGCTGGATGTCAAGCTAATGCACATCAATTTATAATCTGTCCGCACTTTTTCAATTTAAACTATACTGAAGACCCTCACCCAAGTAGCCTCAATAATACACTGAAAATAAGCACTGAAAGGATAAGCCCAATGTCTCCTAGCATATTTACGTCTGGACAACGAGTTGCGCTGGAGAGGCCGGAAATAGTGGCGATTTCAGGACCGCAAGAATGGACCGTCATTGGAATGATTCTTTTTTAAACCGTGGACTGTTTTCGACCGGAATTTAATAGTTACTACAAAATATTTTGTAATTACGTTTCCACCAAGAATGAATGCCATCAGCGCTAAATTTTTACTTCTATTGCATTTTGTCAAGAAGCATATAGTGCTGTTTTATTGCAGTTTTAGCGCGTTTGTTACAAAATATGAAGCGAATAAGCGTCAGTGTAATTCATCAGTGCCAGAAGTGAACTTGAGGGGAGGCTATGCTAATTGCTCTTGTCCATCCACCACTAAAATTTATTAAATATTTTGCTTTGTGTATTCCAAAAGGAGAGGGAACTATTTCATTTGTGCCTTCATGTCAGAATTAAAGGTGGATCATTAAATTTTCAACGCAGTTTACAAACAAGCATTTGGTCTTTCTCGTATATCAATATAAGCAGTGGCTAAGAAAAGGTTGATCAATCCTGAAGTTCAGTCATCGTACCTCAACTTGGCAGCAAGATCCCCCAAGGACAGAGGATATATTGTATACATGTCCTGTAAATCAAAACAAACAAGCATTTGGTCTTTCTCGTATATAGGCAGTGGCTAAGAAAAGGTTGATCAATCCTGAAGTTAAGTCATCGTACTTCAACTTGGCAGCAAGATCCCCCAAGGACAGAGGATATATTGTATACCTGTCCTGTAAATCAAAACATTTTTGTGCCTGCAAAGGCTTAAGTTATCTGTGGTGTGTTCGGAGTTAGGCCATATGGCCGTTTTTGTTGTATGTTTATGTGGAGATTGAATATAACTGTGACCCTGTGCTTGTTTGTATACTTACTATGGTCAAACAGGGAAGAGTACATTCACATACCATACTCACCTAGCACCTAACTCATAGCTGTACCCTGCAGGATCTGTACTTGCTCATGTCTCGAGCATTAACAAAGCACTAAAGTAGCTTAGTAATCATTTCCCACATTTTCTGAGCATCTAACATGACATACAGCAGTGCAGAGCAGCTTCAGAGAAGAAACACTTTAAATGCACAGACTCACACCATGACCAGCCACCCAATGAGCCAGTTCCTCAGTTGACTGTTTCCCTGGATGCAGCTTGGCAATGTGAGCTAACTTTTGGCAAGTTGAAGGTTAGCAGGTAAGATTGGGTTAGGGTGAGTACCTACCTACAACTGGGTGCTACTGCTATGTAGGTCTTGGGTAGGCTGCAAATATGTGTGATGATTGAGGTTAGGTCAGCTGTCAGGTTAGTCAGGACCAGGAGTATGCTCATTGCTCAGGTCACATTTACACTTGGCAAATTAAAAAACTAACAATCTTATCTAAGCTAACCCGACTAAACATACACAACTTCTGACTATAGGAACTAAGCACCTACCTACTTGTGCCTATACATCTCATACCATGTCAAAGTAGAGTTCCTTGGTGGAAGATTACCCTCAGTACTTTTTATCCCAGCCCTGTGAAGAAAACTAATACTTCTAAGCAGGGCTGCGGAGTCGATGGATTTTCGGCGACTCCGACTCCGACTCCGACTCCGGCTTTCAAAAACCAGCTCCGACTCCGACTCCGACTCCGGGCAGAATTGTCGACTCCGACCGACTCCAACTCCCGACTCCGACTCCGCAGACCTAGCAGGGCTGCGGAGTCGACAGATTTTCGGTGACTCCGACTCCGACTCCGGCTCGGGTTTCTAAAATCGACTCCGACTCCGACTCCGGTCACAACTGTCGACTCCTACCGACTCCGACTCCGACTCCGACTCCGCAGCCCTGCTTCTAAGCTCTGAGTCACTGCTGGCCATCCACAGGAAGAAACGCTGAGACTGAGAGCTTTGCCATTGTATATTGGACCAATAATCACTATCACGAATGACTATGAACACATTATGTGATCACATTGTTGCATGGATTGTCACATTGACAATTCTACTACAATCCTTTTTTTCAAGAAATACAGTGATGATTAACATCAAAATCAACATAAAGTGGATTTAGTGACCTAAGCTTTCTCCTCCAGTAGCAATGGAATGATCGCATGTTTCATTTGCCAGACACTGAGTACCTTACCTTACCTTACCTTACCTTCACAGTGATCGGGAGGGAAAAGGCCACTTGGCCTGGAGATCCCGTTCTCATCGAGCTCTAGGACTAGGACAGTCTGGGCTCTTATGGGTATGGAATGTCATACTTCAGGCTTTTCCAGTGTTCGTCCAGCCTGGCCTTGAACTGATTGACGCTGGTGGCAGACACTACAGAAGCTGGCAGAGAGTTCCAGTCATTCACGACTCTTGTGCTGAAGGTGTTCCTCCTCGTGAGCGTTCTTGCGTTCGGTTTCTGCAGCTTCCACTGATGTCCCCTTGTGCGGTCGGAGCTGTGTCTGGTCGGAAGCGCTTCAGGAACCACTGACATGCCACCATGGAACAGCTGAAACACTGTCACCATGTCCCCTCGGCGACGACGATAGTACAGCGACGGTATGTCGAGACGGCGCAGACGCTCGGTGTATGGGAGATGTCTGATGGTGTCAACCATGCGAGTCGCTCGACGTTGTACCCGCTCCAACCGTTTCTGGTTGACTCTGCCAAATGGCCCCCATACAATGTTGCCGTACTCGAGGAACGGTCTCACCACAGACTTGTACAGCAGAGGCAGCGTGATCACGTCGAGGGTAGCAAATGAACGCCTCACAACAGCCAACATCTGGGTCGCTTTTGCAATGGCAGCAGCAGTTTGTTGGTGGAACTTCAGGTTCTCGTCGATAATGATGCCCAGATCCCTCTCTTCGCTCACGCTCTCAATCGCGGTACCTGATGCACATTACAATCATCTGCATAGCATGAAGCATCTAAGCTGCCCAAGTCCATTCATTCTAGATTTTTAACTTGAAAGTTAGCACTTATTTATCTTGCTGTTGTAAGTTATCATTCAATATCCATACCAATACATCAATATGCGCTCATCAGTCAACATTTTCTGGCATGATCCTGCTCAGCGTGCTCTTCAGTAGGTATTGCTCCAAGGTCTGGAATATTATAGCTTGTTTTTGGCCAATAAGCTCTTTTAATTTTACTTTTTCTTGCTGATATATGAGCCCGATCACCAAAATTTATCAACCAAAATTTCATAACTAGTTCAACTTGATATTGATATTGCTCAGGAGTCAGGACCTCTGTCAGCCTCCTGGATACTTCGGATTGTTTTCAGTCAACATGCTTCTTAAATATGATATAAGTCAATATTCAAAACATCCAACAAAACGACGTACAAGAGCAAGAAAACCACCAGATAAACTAAAAAATGGCCTTGGAACAGAGCCAAGTGTTGCTCCATTTGTTTGTTTACAATGACTGTAGTGCTGATGTATTTTTAGGACTCTGAACGTCGGCTTATAAAAAAATGAAACGTTTTTACAAAAATTGTAAGGCAAGTAATATTTATCTGAAAGAACTAAAATATTCAAAAGCCAAACACTATGAAATACATGAATCGGAACGAAAAAGTAACCCAAAAATCCAGCCTAATCTCCGGCTCCTAAAACTGCAACAAAATCAGCACTTTTCCCCGCAACTCGTTGTCCAGACGTAAATATGCTGTCTCCTAGCAGTTTCTTCAAAGCTGTTCAAAAGAAGATTGTATTCCCTTGATCGTGTTCGCGATGCAAAACAGCAATTTTTGATTTGCAATTCAATGTAAACATCACTTAACTATCTGCTAATGAACACAATTTTCATAACCTTGACTGTCACTTCTGCGCCGGTGAGAAAAGAGTCGCTGTTACCAAATTAAATACTAACCCTGTTTGCATGCATATAGCACACAGCGCCTATTTCAGGACACATTCAGTGAAGCCATGTAAATTATTTCTTCAATGGGTTGAATGGATCCAATTTATTTTGAGCATAACAACATCATACTACATATGCAAACTGCAATGTTCCATATTGTGGAGAACATCCGTCAAGGCACCACACAAACAGGCACCAGCATCTGTCTCAAGACTACTCTTTACATTACCAGCCTGGTAGTTTCTACTACTTTTGTATGCTGGGAATTAAGGGTAACAAATTTAGAATATTCGTCTTCAAAAAATATACCTTGCAAGCATTGGAAAACGTAGAAGTTCGTTCGTGGAGGACAGTGTCTATGGAACTAGCTCATGGCCGATGTCTTGAGCACAGGACCTCCATTGACTTGATCCGAGATGGCAGTGACCGATTGGTACGATGTGCAAAAATCGAAACTGCCGCACAAATACTGCTGAATAACAAACCGGTATTTCACATATTACTGTCATGCTCCGTTGCTGGATATGATTCTACCCAAGTTCGTTCAATCACTGCACAGTGCACACTATTGCTTTGTAACCTGGTCTTATCAACAAACATTCGGGTAGATAAACACCGACTATCATCTGATGTGTATTGGTGATACGGAAAACCAAATTATCGTAAACAGAAAATGGATGTAGCATAAAAGATGGTTGCGATGAACATTTCAGATGTTCACAGGTCAGACACGCTACAGAAAAAAATGTGTTTTCTACTATCCACGAAATGTGTTGCGAGATATCCTCGTGGTAACCCAGAGCTTTACTGTTTCCACCCGGAGTCATCTGCACACTGTCGAGTGTTGCCTCCTGAGGTCTCCCTCCCCAGTCTACCAAGACCCCCTACGAGATTTTGGGCGGCGGCGGCGGCAGGCCAGGCTCGGTCAGTTTGGGCGGCGGCGGTACACCGGGCGGGGGCGGTATGGGCGGCAGGCCGGGCGGTGCCGGCGGCGGCGGAACCCCGGGCGGTGCGGGCGGGCGGCCCATGGGCAGGCCGGGCGGCGCCGGCGGTCGACTGGTCGGTACACCTGGCGGTGGCGGCGGCCCCGGAGGACGGAGGGTGCCAGGCGGCGCGGGCGGGCCGTGCGGCGGCGGCGGTCCCGGCGGCGGGATCATGGGCGGCGGCCCGGGCGGCCGCGGCATCGGGCCGCCGATACCCGGCGGCGGCGGCGGCCGGGGCGGCATCATGGGCGGCCTGGGCGGCGGCGGCGGCACCAGGTTCGGCCGCGGCGGCGGCGGGATGGTCGGCGGCGGGCCGGGCGGCCGCACCGGCTTCGGCTCCAGCTTGTAGGCGAACTGCAGGAAGAACTGCTTGGTGTCCTTGTTCCAGAGCGTCCAGAACTTCTCCTCCGACTTCTCTACCTCCCGACTGGGCACCTGGCGAATCACAGACACGGTCACTTGCGACGATTTTCAACAAAGTCTTAACACGCCAAACTGGGCAGGTTATCGCATGGAAGTCGTTACAGGTACGATGAAAAGTAACATTTTGCTGACATTCCAGTCTTCAAGTACATATATGTAGATTTAGCTTATCTCAAACTTTCCGTAATCCAAGCAATACATGACGCCGCAAAAAGTAATTAGATGAAGGAATCATCATTACAGCACGGAGCATCAATAGTTATAATCCCGTAAATGTTTTCAACGCATAAAAGTCCTCCTAAGCCAGTACAGCACTTTCAAACCTGCCTAGGCCACCGTTCTTCCACATTCGAGTCAAATCTCATTTCGCAACAAGCCATCTCTGAGCCTAAGACAAGCCACTCCGACTCGACACAGACCTTGAACGCGATGGTCTCGTAGGGCTCTGCGGCAAACAGCAGGTACTGCCACTTGCGGTCGGGCGGCTCGATCTTCTGCTCGTAGGCCGACATGAAACGGTGGCGCGGCACCACGCCATCGGCGATTTCTGAAAAGGGAGAGAACGGAGGGCGTTAGACTCAGTCAGGGGCACTAGAAGTGTCAGTCAATGACAACGGGTAGAGGGGTTGGTTAGGCTCTGCCGGGGCAGGTTGAAGAGTGACTGTTGGGAACAGATGACCTCTGCCTCGGAGGCAATATGTAGTACTTCTCGTGTTTGGTAGATAATCTCTACCGCAAAAGAGAAGCATCCCCTGACTACTGAATACTGACAGCATCTCCCGAGTAACCAATCCTCGGGTCGCCGTCAGACTGTCAGAGGAGGGATAGGCGCGTCGCTGCCGGTGACCCATGGTGTGGTGCAGGGGTCCATCCTCGGCCCGATCTTGTTCCTCTTGTTCACAAATGACCTGCCACAGCATGTACCACATGGACGACTCGTCATGTACGCTGATGACGCCCAGTTTTTAGACACCGACTCGTCAGAAAATCTGTCAGATCTTAAGTGCCGTATGGAAAACACGTTATCGGTCGCACTCACATGGTTCACTCAAAATAGGCTCAAAATTAATCCTTCTAAAACGGACTTGGTCCTTCTCAAATCAGTGCGCAAAGATATTAACTTCAACTTCACTGTACATTTTGGTAACTCCGATATTAGTCCTGTGCAGTCGGCTAAGATACTGGGCGTCACCGTTGACTCGTGTCTGTCGTGGGAGCAGCATGTGTCGATGATCGTCAAGAGATGTTACTGTGTACTGACTGGCCTCGCCAGAATGCAGAGCCGCATTCCACGCGAAACTAAACGGCTGCTTGTAGAAGCACTGATGTTTCCCCACTTACGATACTGCATGTCTGTGTGGGGGAGCTGTACGGTGACCCAGAAGCGAAGGCTTAAAAAATGTCTGAACTTTGGAGCCCGCCTTGTCACCGGCTTAGGTCGCCGTGAACATCTCACTGGCACACTTAGAGAGCTAGGGTGGGGTGGGATAGACGGGATGTTATGGGAGCACGATGTATGCACAATGTATCAGCTAATGTACGACCAGAGAGCCCCGGAAGTGATGCGCACACAGATCATGCGTCGTTCTGAAGTATCCGCCCGCGCGACCAGGGCTACAGACAGCGGTCATCTGGAGGTGCCGAAAAATCGAACCGAGTTTGCCAGGCGCTCGTTTATCGCACGAGCCGTCCGGGCGTGGAACGAGCTACCTTGCAGTATCAGACGTTCGCCTACTTATGCAGTATTTAAGAGGAGGATATATGCTGATGAACACACGTCGCTGTCTTGTTTTACCTGAGCTCTTTTAGTAAGTGTTACAAGTGATATGTGTGTATGCATTTTATTGTGTATTTGCTTTGTCATGAGCCATTTTATCGCTTCTATGTGCCTATATTACCATTGTATGACGTGGATAACTGAAAACCCATCTTGTGGATGTAATCCGAAATATATGAGTATGAGTATGAGTATGAGTATCCGGTGGTGGGACGGATATTTTACTGCACACACGAGGACCGGAGTCAAGTGTGCTCAATGGTCGTCTCTGTCGTCTCTGGGATCCTGATGAGGTATAAAGAAGTTGTAATCGGACACACCTTGCTAGGGTGTGTATCACTTATCACGATATTTTACATATAACAGCGGTTTAAGTACATATGAACACAAAAACCACACATGTTGTAACCATCCGATGTATCCACAAAACTGTCTTATATAAAGATTACATCAATGTTGACTGGATGTTAGCGTAACAAGCACGCTATTAAATGCATATGTGAGCAAAATCTCGGAAGGGGACACGGGTCTCATGCGACTGAGACCCGAGATGAGACTGATACTGGCAATGCCTAAAGTCGCTGAGGTTTTGGCGAAGGCTGAATATTCATCATTAAGTCATATTCCAATCGAATAGAAATTATGTTACACTGCAAACTGCTATCCGGTTAATAACCAATCGTTTGAAGCGAGCTGGTCCAACCAGCTCAGCTGCGATAGCTATTGCATCTCGACGACACAAATGTTTCTATTGCAATAGAAGCTACATCAGTAAAGCACGATCCCGATGCCGGTCACAAAACAAGTTTAAGCTCACTGGTCTAATGCAACCCACCGGACCGGCCCTGCAGACTGGCGCTATCAGTGCGGCTCAGAGGGAGCCCCGCCGAGTCTCCCCCAATACAACCGGCTCCTGAGGTCAGGGCAGGTGGGGCGGGGGGGGGGGACACGCAACCGGGCGGCCGATCGCGGAGAAACTATGCAAATGCACGCCGCCTGCTGTCTGCTGTGGATGCAGAGGGGGTGGCAGGAAAACAACGTTGCACGGTGCTGAGCACTGCACGCACTGGTGATGTAAAATCGCGGAGAAATTCCATCGATGCACTGTGATGGGGAACTAAGAAAACACGGCTTATATAATAAAGCAGTGATTAAAGTCGACCATTGGCAATCATCTCTCGACTCTCAAGACCAGCAAATGACCACCAAATGAACACATCAATAAAAAATATTCAGTCAGTCGTTCTGAGCTGAGCTGAGCCTGCCCAAAGACGATAATCCCCCGTAACCCACTAAAGGGTGACAAGGTCATGGGGTTAGTTACAACATCACCCGGCTGACCGGTCAAATTTACGGCCCGCCAATGGCCATGCACCGCCGCATCTCCCTCAGACGGCGGTCAGATGACACTGGCCCAGACGCTGCCACGGCGACTTTCACTGGGCGTCCTCAGCAGCGCCGACCGCCGGACATGACATCAAACGGCATCCCCGGTGCCAAAAGGTCCACCGCACAAGTGCGGTTACTTAGAGGGTGTTGCGAAATACCAGTAAGATTTGATTGACCACGAGCGAAGCTGAGCCTGACAAGAACGCGGTCAAGGAACAACTTTTCAGGCTACAGACCGGTTGTTCAGGTGCTAAATGTAAATAAATACGACCGAAAAAAATGAAGGAAATAATAAAAATATACTCATCATGTAAGAATGAACATTGAACACCGAAACATAAATGACGTCATCTAGGTAATCTCGTTATCACGCGGCAACAGCACAATCCCCTTGTTAAATTTTCGATAAATTTGATTTTCATTTTGTCGTTATTTTCCAATACACTTCATGATTTTGTAATAGTCAACTTCAAAACCAAGAAAGAACTTGAATTTGAGGACCTACACAAAATAGATCTACACTGTCCAGTGCCGATGTCATTATTTTCCAGACGTAATGAATGAACAGCGTAGGCAGGTGTGTCTGATGTGGTATCCGGACACTGTCATAAGTCACAAAAAAAGATCGTCGGCGACAGGCGAATGCCATCCCATTTCAAACGTGAGGCCGACACCCCAGTACCAGTTCCTCCTCGGGGGTCAGTAGCATGGGCCCAGCTGACGTGGCTGACCTGGCGCCCTCCTCGCCGCCGCCAACCACACCACGCCGCTAGCCGACATGCAGCTTTTTGCCGCGCCTGGAAAGCGGCTCGTCGGGCGACCGGCCGCGGCTCATCCCCTGCCGGTCCGACCGGTCACCACCGCACGGCGGCGGCGGCGGCGGCGGGCGGCCAGTCTCCCTCCCGCCGCCGCCGCCGCCGCCGCCGTCACTGCTCCACCATGGACCGTACCGTGCGCCAGCGGCGGGCCGAGGACGAGCCAGTGCCGTCGCACCGATCAATGTTCGAGGGAACCGAAAAGGACCACCAGAACGACGAATGGCTGTCGCGGCGCGGCCGAAACATGGTGCTGGTCATCCTGCTCTATGTGGTCGTGTGTACGGGCGTGTTTGTGTGGTTCCAGGTCGGACGACAGCCACCCAAGATGCTAGTGCTCTCCATCAGTGCACTGCGACATGACTATCTCTCCAAAGTGCCCTCGCGGGACGCGCCGTTCTTCACGCATTTCCTGCGCTACGGCTCGCGCGCCGAGTACCTGTCGCCCACGTTCCCGTCCGGCGGAGTCGCTTCCATGACATCCATCTACACAGGTCTGTACCCAGAGAAACACGGCGTCCTGGGTGAACACTTCATGGATCGCAAGCAGGGAGAGCTGAAGCTGAAGGGCCCGGCCGGCCACTCGGCTGACGACGCAGCCTGGTGGGGCGGCTCCCTGCCCTTCTGGAACTCTGCCGTAAAGCAGTGGCGCAAAGCGGCCCTGTTCAACGTCCCTGGAGGGTGTGTGCCGTTCGACGGATACGCGCCGCACACCTGCACAGCTCCCACAGACGACGACGCCTTCAGTGAGAACCTATCGCGCGCGCTGGACCTGCTGCTGAGCGAGGAGCACGCCTATAACCTGGCAGTGGTGCACACGAACGTGCTCCGCCGCGCCGCCGAGGAGCACGGCGCCGACTCTAAGCGTCTTCTGGACGAGCTCCTGACCCTGGACGCGCGCCTCCAGCAGATGGACCGCCAGCTGCTCGACCTTCAGATGCGTGACAACGTGAACATCATCATCGTCTCGGACGGTGGTCTCACTGATACGGAGACGGCCGAGGTGGTACACATCGACCGCTACCTGCCGCCCGAGGTCGGAGTCACCATCGCTGGCAACGGCGCCGTCTGCTACGTCTACGCCGACGAGGCGCACCACGACCTCGTCTACGGTGTCATTGGAAACGTGCCCGGAGCTAAAACCTACCGGCGCCACGAGATCCCCGAGCGGTACAGGATCAGCCACCCGGACCGCGCGCCGGATGTCCTTCTGGTGGCCGCGCCGGGCTCGTACATCGAGAACACGGCGCCGCTGACTGTGGCGGCCGCTGGAGGGTATGATGACACGGAGGGTAACGCGCCAGACATGCGTGGAGTCCTGCTGGCGCGCGGGCCAAGCTTCAAGCAGGGGGTCGTGGTACAGCCCGTCAGTGCGGTGGACGTGTATCCTCTGCTGACCGCTCTGTTGGATGTTACCTCTGAGGTACACAGCGGCTCGATGCTCCGTACCACCGACATGGTTAACTGGTGAGGACAGACCAGAGCCAGTGACGTCATAGAACCAAACGGTGACGTCACGAGCGGTAAATTAGGATGACAGGGTCGGGAGCGGACTGAGGACACAGGGCAATTGGGAAGAATGTGCGGTGGTGGAATGAGAAGTCGCGAATCGTGATTTATTTCGCCAGACTGATTGAGAAGGGTGATGAGATCTTTGAATGTCAGTGAGCCTGTGGTGAAAATGGTGCGATATCTGACCTCCTGGGATGGAAAGAGCAGAGCGAATGTATCCAGGCAGCGCACTGTGTCGCCGCTGATTCGGTGCAATGACAGATGTCCCTGTCCCGATGGCAAGCCTCCCTCGCTGTACCAGTGCAGTGACCTCTCTCACCTTCACACCCCTACCCTGCTATGCGGTACCACCTAACCCGCTCATTTCAAACAACCCTTACCATCACGCCGCGACAACCATGTCCACCGAGTGACGTGGCCGCTGTCGCTGATCCGCCGCATTGACCACGTGTAGACCCGCTGCACCATCACGGCAGATGCCGGTTCCGGCGCGGTGACGTGGCGTCGACCGCACGAATCTCGTCTCGGTCAACCCCGGGCGCGGGGGGAGGTACACAGGGGGGAGGGGCGGCCGAGGCCCGCGCAGGACCGGTTACAGTACACGGGGATTAGGAGGCGTCTTCCAAGCGCCAAAGGTGGCTTTGCCGGTCCGCGCCGGCCAGACAAAAACAGGCAGAGGGTATCTGATTCTGCTTCTTTTGAGTTCGTTAGCGCGAGTGTTTTTGCGTAAATATATGCTATCAAGATTGACGCGACGTTTCACGGGACAACGAACAGCCGGACCCGGCTGGAGACAATGACCTCTGTGCATGGAGTTCCACCAATAATGCTGTCTTACTTTTCACTGGAAAGTCCACATTCGCTACCATGCAAGACGATTTCGAAAGCAATATCCACCGAACTCACAGTAAATGAGGCTTGAAATGATTTTGCAAATGGTGTCTAATTGATCCGCTACCGTTAACTAAATCAGGCTTCATTTCAAAATGCGTTAAAGTGACGGCACACTGGGTTCGGTCGTCTCGATAACACTAGGGTTTCTCGCTAGGAACCGGCCGGTGCGAGCGACACACTGACCAGAAAAAAATAGAACCATTACTTCGGAAAAAGAACGATCTCGCGTAAAAAATATCGATTGGCTATGCACAGCACAGTGACACAATTGAATTTCACACAGATGACGGCCAAACGCATTCTCTGTTAGCGTCGTTAGTCGTTACTAATTGCCACGATTCAAAGATTGATGGAGACTTCAGCCGTCATTACCGCAGATACGTGAAGAAGTAAACGAGCACAAACAAATTTTGCATTGAGCAGCCACGGCGTGCTAAAGCTCAAGTATTTGGGATGATCGTTAACTAGTAAGAAAACGTGGTAAGATCTCATCTGACATCTTGTCGCACCCAAATGATTACGAACGCAGGAAACGCTGGTTCCCTAACGCCCGTCGCCGATCGCGACTATAAGCGAAAGCCAGCGCCACCTACACTGGTTACAACTAACTTTACGAAGGTTGCGACAAAGTTCGCTTCAGAATTCATCTGTCATCGGTCACGTTCAACACGAAAGTCGGCGTGGTTCCTTCTTAGCTCTCACCATAGTCCTGGAATGCTCGAAATGGCCAGTTTATCCTTCCTCATCAATGATCCAACAGATCAACTCAGCAATATTCTACCAGCATCAATGGTCCCCCAGGGATGTTTAGCCAAGCTCCATAACTGACCTGGGTAGTCGACCTGGAAGAGCAGACTCTGCTGGCCGCTCTCCGGCGCCCTCTGTTTGTTCACACGGTAACCGGGACGTCCGATCTTGACGAACTTCTTGATGTCCACCCGAGCCTTCTCTGGCGCCGGCTGGAAACAATGACGCAGATAATAAGCTTGAAGTCACCAAACACCCAGCGATTCATCTATCCAGTGTAGGTACTCGTAAATGTCAAGCATGATTTCTTCCTACAATCAGTGTTTTCGAGTTTTGAAAATAAGGAAAAGAAGAGGATTATGCATACATTGGATTACACACATGATCACTTAACAATCTGAAAACCAGCCACGGTTCATTCCCGTCAGCCCGGCCCTCTCACCGACCTGCTGCGGGGCCTCCCGGGCCTCCTTGGCAGCACGGCGGGCCAGGTTGGCCTGGTGCTTCTTGCCCTGAGTGTGAGCCAGGTACGAGCCCTCATTGTTGTGCAGCGTGAGACACAGTTTGCACTCGTACGATCCCAGGTGATTACGCATAAAGTAGGGGTCCTTCTGCAGGTCGATGGTCTCCAAGGCCAGCTGACGGAGGCGCTCGCGCCGGTCGCGGTTCGACTCGGACCACGAGGCCTGACCTCCTCCGCCCGTCTTGCCTCCAGCGCGGTGCTGGAAGTCCATGGCGGCGGGCTGGTGGTGTTATCACACCTGGGGAGAGGAGGGTCACAAAGGTCAGCATATTGAGATCAAAGATATGATGACAAAATGCTAACATCCACCATATTCAACATTGCTGTTTAAGCTATTGTTTTCGTTATGTCACTTTGATAATAAAAGCTGTCTGTGCTGAGTTAGCTCTACAAGCTCTGCTGCTATTTTGATGACATTAGCCAACCTGTCATACAAAGAAAAAAGTAAGATGTCATTTTTTCCAAAGGGATTATACGAAAGGACCAAATGGGTGATGAACAAATTGTAAATGAATTTATGCTCATGTTTTATGGCAACATAAAACAATGTTCAGATTACACACATGGCACAGTTTCATACTTGAGATCCCATTGAACATAACTATTGAATGATAAAATAATGTAAATGTTCCAAATTTGTTCTATAATTTTCTTCCTTTAGAAGACAGCAATATTTAAGTGCCACAATTTCCAAACATTTCCATGAAAACCAAAAGAGCTAGTAGCCACCAGAACTGAGCCATCTGGAGAAGGGCCCAAACCACTCAGGAAGGCCAGGAGCCAGTTCTGCTAGCAGTCAAGTGATAATTCACTAGTTAAGGACTGTGGTTACTGGTTATCACCAGACATGTGTGTGGATCCAGGTGATCAATCCATGATCTCAGTGGATCTCAAAGCAAATGACAAATTAAGACCTTTGATCCCATTGGATCCAATGAAGTTTCCACATGATTTAATGTGCACACATTACACAGTACGAGTTGTGATTTGTAATCACATAATGTCCTGAATCAAAGTGAATTGTAACAATTAACAAGTGCTTCTTGGATATTTCTACGTCTACAAATTAAAAAGTGAGTAAGAATCTGTAGTCTCACTAGATCACTAGACAAAAAAAAACTTTATCTATTTGCCCTACATCACCCCTGAAGTTCCCCACACCACTGGTGGATCCAGAGAAAAAAAAAATCATAAAATTTGGGGTGTGCTGTGCATTTGTGATTTCAGTTTGGGACAAAACAAATAATAATTTGCATTTTAGAATTTAGCCTGCCTTTGCACATGCAGTTTTTCACATGAAACTTCCAAGCTACAAAATTCCTCACGAAAACAGCTGTTCCAGCCCTAGGCGAAACCCAAGGAGTCCCACAGGATCCTGCGAAATGGGCATGCCAGAATGGCTAGGTATTTTTATCATGAAAAACATTACACCATGAATCCAGCAGTACCTATCCCATGAAATGGTCAATAGGTACCAAACCAGTCCCACGCACAAGGGGAAAAAGCTCAAAAAATTGAGCGCTCAAAAAATTGAGCGGGCCCCATTATGAAGGAATAGGCGAAACGATGGTATTTTACAATGCCTTTAGCGTCACACTACGGCAAATATCGTATCCAAATAAGGTATCAATGGCAAGAGAGAGCAACAAGGTTTCTTCTCGAACACTCGCCGTGATAATTTATATCGGTGTTTTTGGAAAGAAAATGCCCTAAAGACGCTCAACTTTTTGAGCGCCACTTGTCGTTCGGGACCGCGATACTCAATAAATTGAGCGCCACGACAGACGACAGTCAGCTGGCGCTCAAAAAATTGAGTGCCGGCCAGCATCTACACTCAATTTTTTTTAGCGTTCTCCGTGACGGGTGAAGCCGGTACTGGCTGCCATTTTTGATGTTATGTTCGTTGAAATACGTTAAACTGAGTTGAAACAGAAATGCAGGAAGTTGAATGCTACGTGGTACCTAAACTTTTCACAAACCCATGGCATCATGTCACATTTTCCGCTAGTAGTTTTATCGGTCGCCTTTCGGATTCGGCACACCGCAAATAATTATACAGGGCTTGAATAATCCGTATGAATACTGTATTGATATTCTCTGACTGTACTGGGAGAAGGGAATACGTGAATACAGCAAGATATCCACCCACGCTTGAATATTGGAGAATTATAGCAGGAAAAACTGTATTGCCACGGTTACAACTTACAAGGCCATCGGCCGCAAACAAACAAAAATACTATACAATGTGGGTTAGATTCACAAACATCATCAAGTGTGGAACACAGAGACGAGCAAAACAACATCACATTATCGCATGCCAGCCCGACCACATTGGAACCGGGTCCGGGTGACCTGCGACCGGAACCTGCGTCTTGCCAGCATACATCACAAATTTATAAAGTCTGATGGCCAAGAGTTGCGAACGAAAATTATAATTAAAATCTAAATCTTTTTGTATTTCAGACGTTTCGACAACACTGTGCCATCGTCAGTAATTGATATAAGATATTTCCTAAAGTCACAAATCACATTTTAAAAATAACATCAGCATTAAGAAATTACACATGGTAATGGCATTTCGGTATTTTTACATTCGATCACGGTCGTTCCTCACAAGCGTGCTCCGTTTCAGCAAGGATAATCTGGCTGTCGCTACTGCCATCGAATAAAATCCCCCTCTTGTGTTAAGTGTGTTCTTGGTCTTGATGTGTGCAGCCTCTAGTGCCCTCCTGATATTTTTGTTCATACCTTTCTCTAAAATTTCAGCCCCTTCCCACCTTGGTAAGTGCCCGGCCTCATCCACATGAACCACTATCGCATTACTTAACACGTGCCCCCTCACGTCTCTTCTGTGTTCCCCGACACGGGTACCTAGGCCCCTACCTGTCTCGCCTACATATTGTTTTTCGCAAACAGCGCACGGTATCTGATAGACTATGCTACTTTCGTGATCCTTATCTTCGTCGCGTGCACCTTTTAAAATATCGCCACTTTTGTGTCCCGCACTTATCACCGTCTTGAATCCGGCCTGTTCAAGCTGTCGTGCTACCGTATCCACCTTTTCAAAATTGGGAATGCAGAGCAATCTACTCGATTTTTCTATTCTTGCGTTTTCTCTTTCATTAGTGTTTCGTTCACGAATCTTCTGGGCCTTTTTCTTCTGAGAAATGAGAAACCCTCTTGGATATTTGAGTTGCTGAAATCTTTCAAAAATGTGCTCCAGCTCGTCCTCGAGATATTCCGGGCTGCACACTCGGTAAGCGCGCAGGAAAAATCCTATTACAATGCCCCTTTTGTACCTCTCGTTGTGTCCAGAAAAATAGTGTATGTAGTCCTCTTTGCACGATGGCTTCCGGTATACCTTGTATTTCAAATTTCGACCCTCTCTGATTATGAATGTGTCCAGAAAAGGAAGTTCACCGTTCATTTCATTTTCCACCGTAAATTGAATTTGAGCGTCTACCTGGTTGAGACTTTGCACTTTTTTCTTCAAGTTTCATCTCTTGATCACGTCATCGACATAACGTAACCATACGGTTCCTTGGCCCATGATATTTAAGAAGTGTCGTGAAATGAACGGTGAACTTCCTTTTCTGGACACATTCATAATCAGAGAGGGTCGAAATTTGAAATACAAGGTATACCGGAAGCCATCGTGCAAAGAGGACTACATACACTATTTTTCTGGACACAACGAGAGGTACAAGAGGGGCATTGTAATAGGATTTTTCCTGCGCGCTTACCGAGTGTGCAGCCCGGAATATCTCGAGGACGAGCTGGAGCACATTTTTGAAAGATTTCAGCAACTCAAATATCCAAGAGGGTTTCTCATTTCTCAGAAGAAAAAGGCCCAGAAGATTCGTGAACGAAACACTAATGAAAGAGAAAACGCAAGAATAGAAAAATCGAGTAGATTGCTCTGCATTCCCAATTTTGAAAAGGTGGATACGGTAGCACGACAGCTTGAACAGGCCGGATTCAAGACGGTGATAAGTGCGGGACACAAAAGTGGCGATATTTTAAAAGGTGCACGCGACGAAGATAAGGATCACGAAAGTAGCATAGTCTATCAGATACCGTGCGCTGTTTGCGAAAAACAATATGTAGGCGAGACAGGTAGGGGCCTAGGTACCCGTGTCGGGGAACACAGAAGAGACGTGAGGGGGCACGTGTTAAGTAATGCGATAGTGGTTCATGTGGATGAGGCCGGGCACTTACCAAGGTGGGAAGGGGCTGAAATTTTAGAGAAAGGTATGAACAAAAATATCAGGAGGGCACTAGAGGCTGCACACATCAAGACCAAGAACACACTTAACACAAGAGGGGGATTTTATTCGATGGCAGTAGCGACAGCCAGATTATCCTTGCTGAAACGGAGCACGCTTGTGAGGAACGACCGTGATCGAATGTAAAAATACCGAAATGCCATTACCATGTGTAATTTCTTAATGCTGATGTTATTTTTAAAATGTGATTTGTGACTTTAGGAAATATTTTATATCAATTACTGACGATGGCACAGTGTTGTCGAAACGTCTGAAATACAAAAAGATTTAGATTTTAATTATAATTTTCGTTCGCAACTCTTGGCCATCAGACTTTATAAACATGTCTTACAATATTGAACAGATACATCACAAAAGCAGGAGGCAGTGTCGTACTGCTTTGATCCAAAATATGCCATATAACAAATGATATAAACGACCTAAGCTCGGACTAAGCTTATCATTATCAAATCCTTAGCATGTAAAAGACGAATGGAAACATCGAGTCTCAGACCAGCAGTAGCAACGATCACAGTAGCAGCATCACAAAGAACACGCGGCATTATCAGACAGCCGTTTTGTTATCGGGCTACAGGCGGCGACGGCGTGGTTGCAGACCAGCTGCGAGGTAGCGGCGTGCGGGCAAAAGGCGCGGGCACACCTCCATGTGGCCGTGCGGACAGTGCGCGGTCGGCGTCGCATAGTGGGCGGCATCGGGCTGTCCCGGGCCGTCGAAGCCGCACAGGTTGTCGGCGCATGTGGGCGCGCGCGGTCACCACGGCCAGCTGCTCACCGCCAGCACAGACTGCGCAGCGTCGCCGCTCCGCCGGCCAGAACACGCAGACAACCCTTCTTGCAGTCGCACAACACGTCGCCAAACTCATTCACCTGCTCCACCATGTTGTTGATGTCACCGAGTCGTTCGAGTTGTGGCTCGTGCCGTCGAGCATGACCTGCCCGATCGGACACGGGTCAGCGGCTTCTGCTCCAGCGAAGTCTTCATCTTAGTGACGTCTTGCTGATCTCCACAAAGGCTGAGCAGATGACCTTACCCACAGAGACGGCCGACGTCCTCGCCAGCGACCGCTTGGTTGTGCAGACCTGCCAGATAAAGAAAAGCTGTTTGGTGATCTCAAACGATTTTTTTCTTTATGCAGTGGAACAAAACGGAAAATATGTCATACAACAGGAACTAAAAAAAAAGATGCAGCCTAGGTCGTCTAAGAAATGGGTGCAACATTGATAAAATTCTTCATTGAATGAATTCTGCAAATGCTTTTGATAAAATGTGTGGTGATTATAAGGAGACCTTTTTACTATAAAATTGCTCAGGATTCCCTATCTAGACCTGTCAAAAAATCCTGACTGCACACCAACAATGAGCATTAAATCCAAAACCTCTACCAGGTACCTAGGGATAATTAAATTCTGATTCAGGAAAATATTTCACATCATACAAATAAAAACCTTTACTATATTGAAACTGAAAATGTGATGCTGATCCAGTGACCTAAGGGTCTCAAAGTATAATAATGAATTAATCGATTATAAATTTGGTGGTGACTGCCGACTGGCGTCTGGCGGCCTAGACCTTGAGGCTTAAAAGTGGCCTTCCTTTTCCGTTGACTCCGATCCTCCAGATGGAAATGATATAAAGGATCATTTTTATCTTATTTCATATTAGCGAGCCAGTCAGCAAAGTGGCTATCCTGTTTCAGCATTCACCCACACAATAGTTGACTGTCAGTCTGTCATGCTGTCAGTGTTGTGAAGTAATGAAGGAGTTGAGTTTTGTTGATTATAAATTGTGATGTTATGTAAAGGACTGGAAAATGAATGTGAAAACTATGGAAACATATTGGCAGAGTATTGTCACTTACTATCAGGACATATGGATAGAGAATACATTCACATTAATAAGAAATGCCAAATATCAAGGTACTCAATCACTGATAGCAGTGGACTATCATATGTTTTAATGTCAATTATATGAAAGTTAAGACTGAAACTACCTTTTACCTCATCATGCCTAATGAAAAATTGTGTGAAGAAAACATTCACAGCCTCTTTGAAGCACTTAGACCACTAAAAAACAAAAATTTTCACGTAAATATGTTGTGTCTCCTTCCTTCAAAACATCATATCGGATGGCGCCACTTTCGTCGACAGTTACTTATCTGCACGCAAATCGAGGAAAACGTGAATTGATTGACGTTTACGTGTTTCCAAATTTAAAATCACAGCATATTCAAACTTTTCAGTGTACCTTTTAACATCTAAGTACAACTAAAACGATAAAAACTTACCCTCAACACAAGGACGACGACAACCACGCGACCGGAGACGTCGCGACGAAATAAACAAACGGCGCCGCCAAATGAAAAATATTCTGCGATATGGGTAATGTGAAATTGAATCGCAATCATTTTGGGTAGTATGAAAAATGCTCTTTCCAACAGAACCCTAGTAAAAAACGTGAATGGACAAAAAATAACTTTTATTTCGACATAAATATTGGCCTGTTTTTAAGTCATCCTGGTATGCCGTAAGATTTCGACCTATAAATTGGTGTTCCCCCAATCATTGAAGCTTGAGCAGTGAAAAATATGAAAGCCTAATCTGTTTTGCATCATTAGTGATTCTCCTAGGGTGTTGCCATTTCTCCCTAGGTGTTGCGAGTTGCTTTTGCAAAACGTGTTCCTGAAACGGCTCAATTTTTTTAGCCCTCAGCATTACGCCTATGGGAGCCTCTGACGTCACACGCTCAATATTTTGAGCGCTCAATAATTTGAGCTTTTCCCCCTTGTGCGTGGGACTGAAACAGCCATTTTCATGAGAAATTCCTCAGCCTGGAAATTCAACATGAAAAACAGCACATCAGGATGCAGATTTAATAGGAGGAAAATGTAACAAAAATCATGAGGATTGCTTTCAACTGCACAGCAAAAATAAAAAATAAAAGTTAAAATTGTGAGTCTTCAAGAATCACGATCAACTAGGCGCCAATTGAGCTCATACAACATTCAACGCAGCTCTTAATTCTTGCTGATTGTGAAATGAACATAACAGTATATGAGTGAAGCATAAGAAACCGATAAATTTGAAAAAAAATAAATAAAAATCAGTAACAAACCTTATAAAACGTTTTTCAACTCCCTGCGGCACACAGAAGCGGCAGAAACGACGCAACGGAATACTTCGAAGCACCCACGCCAGAAATGCAACACCGACAAAGCTACCATACAACCCAAAAAATCAGAATCCCTTCAATTATTTTCCTTCAAAGGAACAACGATCGAGTAATTTTCCCCGTGACCCCGTTCAACGGCCGATGCAAGTTTCTCGGACATTTATAAATAGGTCATCCGGTCCAAATATTTTCCTCATCCATCTTCATAACATTCTGCATGGGTGAGCGCAGCTCCCGTACTCGCCCAAAGAATTAGCAAACACCTGCCCGCGATCGTCGCTGATCTTTTTGGGCCGAAGACGTCTTGGGATCCAAGATAAAAGCTAGCGTTGATGTTCTGCTTGGTTATCGTTAGAAATTAGAATACTTATTACATCAATCACTGAGCTACTGAATCGCTCACCAAAACTAATATCACCTTCCTAACTATCTCCACGTTCGCCTGACATTCACAGTGACACACCCCAACGTCGTTCCACGACTAAGTAAAATGGGACCACGCTTCCAACACATCCAAACAAGGTGACATCAAAATTTTATCGTGTTTCTAGAAAAAGAGCCATGGGTTTGGGAGCCCAGATGCGTTCTGAGTCTTAATCGGAAGTGCACATTTCATGGTCAATTGTATGCCCAACGCCCGTGAAGGGCACTCACTATTCATAGGTAAGGGCTCGGGCCAAACCATTCCTGATCGAACTACAAACGAATACCCTGAACGTTCGCTAAATAGACAGCGCAATGAAAAAGGCAGCACTCCATACGATGGCTATGAGCAGTGAGACACTAAACAAGTGTAAAGTCAAAATGGAATGAGGTTATTCCTACCAGAGAAGCCGTCAGCTACATTTTGTTCGGGTTTTCAAGCTACACTGTCTAAACCTAAGCTGATGATGCACATTATGGCACTGTGTCACCCAAAAAGCGTACAAGCTCGCTTAAAGATGCAAGCAACGCCATCGCTTTTCAGCCGGCAGCCGAAATTCGATGAGCCCAGGTACTTGGCGTCACAGCCGCTGGCGTTGGTCCAACCCCAACGTCTAGCATTTTAGAATGTCCAACAGCATTCGCGCAGCCCGAGGCAAAAACCTGAGGACGCCACGCACACACACTGGCCTCTGCTGACATGAGCTGACATGAGCACCAGATGACACCAACAACCCCGTGTTGGTAAAAGCCACATCTGTGCCGCACTCCTGAGATTCCACGAAGCCGCCTCAGCCGTCCATCCAAGTCGCGTCTGTCACAGCTGTAAGCAAGGAGCGACACATATTAGCGAAAAAACGCAGGAAACGGGAAAAGCAAATGATGTCTGTAATAGTCAGACACTGTAGACGATGCAGAAATGATTGAGGAAGGGCTGCGATTATGCCATATTTGCAAAGCTTTCGGGTGAAACAATATACAAGACGAGTTATAAATCAAGAAGTGAGTTACTTCGCTACTATGCTAACTGTAAGCCACTTTTATTATTGGAAACGGACTTTTTTCGTTTTCTTTTGTCATTCATCCCAGCCAGTCTAAGCTGGGCTCCAAAGCCCGACACGCACTCGGCGGTAGCCGAATGTGGCTCACGGAGCCAATGTGGATGTCGCTGCCCTGCCCCACCCTACTCACCTCCTCCTCAGTGAGGTCCAGCGCGTTCCAGCGCAGACGCTCCGCGCCAGACGAGCGCAGCTTCTTACGGGGCGACTGAGTGCTCTCTTCGGCCACCGGCACCCTCTCCAGGTCCACATAGCAGTGCCGCAGCTCCCCCACTTCCTCCGTCCTATCCCGTTTGGTTGCCGCGGCGGGAGTAGACCTCCGACCTCGGCGAGCCGTACCTCCGCGGCCGGCCCCACCGCGCACCGGCGAACCAGTGACGGACGCGTCGGGTACCAGTCGCGTCCCTTCGGTCCGTGCCATGTTGGGGGTTTCCTGGGCACGATCGATCGTCACAGGCGTCGGTGTGGTTTCGGCTCTGCTGATTGACCTTTCACAGGGGTCCGGGTCCGGCTCAGGGTCCCCGCCGCCTTGGAGTCGCTCCTCGTCGCTGTCAGGTCGGGAGGCTCCGGTGACCGGTCGGGAGGCAGCGGCAACCGCGGCGTCCCCTCCCTCAATACCGGAGCCGGGCGGCAGGCCGCCAGCCAGCAGCTCGGCACCGGCGCGCTTTAGGAACTGTAGAGCGGAGGTCTTCTCGTAGACCATCCGCCTCACGAGAGGGTCCACTTTGCGCATCCGCGGCCAGCAGAGCAGACCCTCCTGGCCGACCTCCAGCTCACTGTCTGTGTCACGCAGCACCTGGGAAGAGTAAACCAGCCCACCATACAGTTGGTATATGGCAACAGGAAACAGGATGGAAACACCCTGCACTAGACCATACGTCTATGGTGACAGGGAACTACACAATCAGACCGGGTCCACACGTCAAGGGTTGGCTAACGAGAACAAGCTTCACTGATAAACCTACAGGACTTACGCATTGAATAAAGAATGCAACTGCAAAACTTTTTCATTCTTCTAGAATCTGGTGTTCGCAGACTGGTGTTTGATTCATCTGTGATTGAATCGATTGGATTGAATCAAACAAAATTTGTTGAATCAAAAAGGTTTGATTCACCGTCAGGATTGTTTGATTCACAAGCCATGATTGAATCAAACGCATTGGGAATCAGGGTTGATTGAATAAAAAATAATGATTCATGAACTTAAAAAAAAAAAAATTGAAGTGAACGAACATAGTTCATTATCAACAAATATTAACATTACTGCCATTACATGACAACAAAAAGAACACAACAAATACAATACTATCCCTGATATTTTGTATATTTTATTTTTTAATTGAATCAAAAAAGAATCATTAAAAAAATGGCTGAATCAAACGTGAATCATTCCTTTTGTTTATTGATTCTCTGAATCAAAAGGAATCGATTCACCAATTTTTTAAAGGAATTAAACGGTGATTGAATCAAACAAAAATCAAATGAATCAATGATTGAATCGATCCAAAAAAGGTGAATCAAAAACCAGTCTGGGTGTTCAATGGTTTTACAAGCTTCGTTCTCACCAGTTGCAGGCTGGAAAGATCCCAGCCGTCACCTAGCACGTCAGACCCTCCTTCAACTCGAAACCACCAACAAAACCAATTACATTACCTGATTCACGGCCGCGACCAGCGCCACGAAGTCGCGCTGTGCCCGCGGAGTATCCGCCGACGCGTCGTCGCGACACGCCTGGTAGCGGCTCTTGAGGTCGCGCATCAGCTGGAACGTGTCCAGCTCGTCCATACAGGGCCGCCGGTGGACGGACATCTTGGCCGGCCCGAACTTCCAGAGCCACTCCTCTGTGACGTAGGTGCCGAGCCGGCGCAGCGCCTGGCGGCTGGGCGAGTCCACCTGGAGAAGTAGAGCAGCAGAACGGTTATGGATTGGTTATGTGTGTGACTGGCTGGGCTACTAAGCTAATACGACGTAAACTATGCCTGTAAAGTACGTGATGAGCACATATGACAATTTTGACAAAAGTGAGTAGGAGCCATTATCCACAAAGCATTATAGTGGACTGCGTTATCATATCCAACCCTGATTTAAGAATGAAAAAAATCACGATGATTCGCCATTACGCCCTGACACTTAAAGTAGCGAGGATCCATTTTTAGTACGAGTAAGTTACTCATGCATCCTGTACCCAGTCTGTCTTGCCAATCGAAATGGCATTTTATTAAATTACGAGTTACGAAAAACCACACAACTGTCCCCTTCACTGTAACATGTTGTAGCACCGACCTGTTCGGGTATCTCGCGGGCGAGTTTCTCCAGGGCGTCCCCCATCTTCTGTGGCGGCATGAGCGGCAGGGCGAGCAGCATGATCAGCCAGTTCCGTACCGGGACCGAGCTGACGAACGGGGCCGACAGGTTCTCGCGGACCACCTGACGAAAGCGTACCAGTCGTCAGCTAATCCCATATAAGGTAACCACAGCTGGTCAGTGGTCAGATAAGCTCAAGTCCGCGGATCACATACGATGGCACAAAGCCTGTGCGTTGAAGAGAACGCCTTCGGAGTTCGGCCTGTTAGCGCAGTTATAGGTGATTGATCTCCAATGACCACATCGGAAAGGCAAGCCTAAACGTCCCCCCCCCCCCCACACACACACACACTCGCACAAACACTCACCTTAGCCACCACATCGCGGCAGTAGGTAGATATCGAGCACGATATCTGCGCGTCGGGCCAGCCGGCGGCGGCTGCCGACAGCAGGGTCGGTTCCGACGAGCACACGACATTATCGGGCAGCCTTCCACCGAGCCGGCGCTTCAGCGCAGCGAACACCTCCAGTAGGACGGCCTGGGAGGACTCCCGCAGTAACACGAGGAAAGCGGGTCGCAGCTGACGCCGCAGGCACACCGACACCAGAAGCAGGTGTGAGAACACACCCGCTACCGGTGTGGACAGCTGTCGGTGGGCGAGAGCAGTCGGTTGGAAACACGGTAAGAGTGATCACGTTATATGGGTCACACGGCAGGGCTCTACCTGAGGGAGTCTGAAGATAGCTGAGAATCAGGAGAGTTGGAAAGATACATTTGAAGAAAAGTGAATCGAGGAGCTGCTAAACAGCTCCTCAGCTCCTTTTTATAGCACTATAAAAAATCCACTCCGCCCAAATAATAGACACTATGTGTATTGTGTACATAAGGTACACTGTCAAGAGGGCAGAGGCAGCCGTAATCATTATCGCAGCACTCCGAACCACTTGCCGCTAGCCGTGATTGAGTTTCCTACCTTGGTCGACCCGTCCAGCTGAATGTCGTACCCGTTAAGGCTTTTCTTGGCAGCCATGGTCGCAGCGGGCGCAATGAACGCCATAACCAGCTGAAAGAAAAGACGAACGGCATAAATAAAAAGCTAACATCCGACACTTGTTGGCAAACAGCACTGTCGGTAGCGGACAAAATCGTTGGATCAGAAGTGATCAAAACTTATTTCCCATAAGCACCATTATAAGTACAATCGCAAACATCGATAAAAAATCCGCTTTCAGGAGACGTCATGTAATTATCTACACAGTCCCAGAACTCACATCTCGTCCTTCGCTATCCTTGAGAACGAACGAGAGATTCCGTTTGAGTTGCTGCGACATCCCCTGAAGGGACTCCTGCAGATTGAAGGCGCTGGGGGCAGGTTGAGGAGTAGCAGTGGCCGGCGGTGCAGTCTGCCCGTTCAGGGTGGTATTCTGCCCAGGTGTTACTACTGCGGGCTGGGGCCGAGACGGCGTCGCCGCTGTACGGTGGGGAGCCTCCTCTGCAGGATCCTGTCGGAAGAAAACGAGATGAGACACGAGTGTTTTGAGGGAGAGGAAGACAGCCCACAGGCTCAGCAGGGTGGCAATACGAGCATTACCGAGCACAAGCGCTGATAATCTGATCAGGGAGTGATTTATAGCAGAGGGTGACGCTTGAATTTTCCGCATGGCAGATTAAATAATACAATATTCATGTCTATACTCGTTTGTTATACGTAAATTCCATCTTGACGTTTATCAGTCCGATTATTAAATAATCGAGTCAGACTCATCGCGTCAAAAGTTATGCCCCAAGTTCATCCAAAAATGAATTATGTGGTAGTAAATACAACAGCTACCGTCCACCTCAGCCGTCTGCCGAACACAAGTTGCCTCGCGTCTCACCTCTGGTGGGCTGGGTGAGGACGGGCCGGGGGAGTCATCAGCGCCCGCCGGTGAGTCGTCCCGGTCTGACTGTTCTGCTGCCTCCGCTACTCCCTCCCCGTTCGTCCATCCGGCCGCCCCCTGCCACTGGGGCGGTTGATGAGGTGCCCCCGACTGCGGCGCCGGCTGCTGCGACGAGTGAGGCTGCTCCGCGACCACGTCATCCGCCGCCGAACCTTCAGTTACCGACTGCGAATAGAGACCGGCCACTGAGATCAAATAAGACTACTCAGTCACTTGACGAGCAGGCAAACGTCGACCAAAAATAGTCTCACAAGAAAAGTGCAACACTTGGAACACTCATTCGCACAGCAAAACAATAATTCACAAATTACAACAGCAGTGACAACTGACATATTGATCCCCTGAAAGCGCAAACTGCAACTGAAGCAGCGATACATTTACATGCAGTAGGCCGCTGGACCAGACACTGGCGAGAGTTGGGGGAAAGCTGTCACACATCCCGCGGACGCCCGTCACAGATAAAGGGGAACATCGCGGCACCCCCGCCTCAACCTCCTGACTAGAGATGGGATAATGTGTGTCGTCGTCCGGCACTCACCTGACATAGCCGCGAGAAGACCTCGCCTGCCGTCGTCGTACTCGCGGTATTGGTCGCGGCATTGGTCTCTGGTTTGGCGCCGCCAGCACTGGCAGACTTCGAAGACGCGCGCTGCTTTACCCGCGCCAAGACCTCGGCAGCAGCTCCGTTATTCCTCCGATTCTGAGAGATAGGCAACAGAAGACAGTCAACAAACCCTATATTAGGAGGGTAGCGAGCGAGCCCGATTATGTCTGATTGCATTTACTGCCTTATAACGAAAAAAGGAAATGAGGGAAGAAAACGGCAATATCATGGACTTAATTTTGTCATTTATGTAAAGTGCGCAAAAAGATAAGATATGACTATGAGCACTGAGCAGGTTATCCCCGATAAGCAAGGGTTTACATACAGGCATGTGTTATCTCATCCATGATACAGGCAAGCATTGTAAGTCCATCATCCATAAATACATCCTATTTTCATGCACTTTTGCAGCTCTATCAGCTCTATCTTATCACCATTCACCCCACAGCCGCGTCGAATAAGAACTTTTGAAAGTCACCATCCTAATAATGATTATGGATATCACGGGGCGTTACCATCGAACGATATTCTTATGTCATATGAACAACCGCGACAGATGGAGGAGACTATCAAGAGCCGATCGCGAGCATAACAGGAAAGCTATGTAAAAACCAAACTTGTTCAATATAATTCACATACCTCGGGCCTCGAGGATGAGCCTCGCGCTGCGACACCTGTCTCGTTTTTTATCCCTGGCATGGTCCCCTCTCGGTCTTTCCTCATTTTATCTTTCTGTAATGGAAAATATGGTCAGCACAGCTGCAGCGACAATCAATATCTGTTTACCAGCTGTTTGGCCAAGGATCGAGAGCGTTGAGGATAATGGGAGCTCTGAAGGAAGCTCTCATGTACTCATTATATTATAGCCCTAGTTCCAGCCATTACATTTAGCTTTGGTAGTAGATACTGAAGCTGGCACCGCAGTTGTAACCAAGCAAGGCGTAAGTTAAAGGATTTATACAAGATGAATTCAGGGTTTCAAAACAGCACTAACCAGTCACTCACAGAACCAGACTCGGGTCTTCTATTGAAGCCAGCTGACCACACCTTGCCTCTCCGTCCCTAACCACCTGCCTATATTCTCAGTCAGTCATCTCCACAGTCCCCACCTACCCAATGTCCCCCCCCCACACACACACCTATCACTGACTACCCCTCCCACACACACACCTAGCCTATCACTGACTACCCCCCCCCCCCACACACACACACCCCTAGACCATCACTGACCCCCTTCCCCTCTACTTGTCATCGGCGGTACTGAAGACGACACGGACCTATCCTCCCCAGTCCGCATCCACAACTCACCCTCAACGTTTGGTAGAGCGACTTGAACGGCAGCAGGTGCGCGTGCGGTGAGCTGCCGACGACGTCGTCAAAGACCTCACGCACCGTACGCTGGTGCTCGTCGGCTCGCAGTGCCATTCGCACTTGGTTTATCAGACGCCGCTTCTGCGAATAGACGAAGGTGTTGTAGTGTTGGGGCGATCAGAAGCCTGCGCCTTAACACATACAGCATGAACAATGGTGGGTTACCAACAAGCAGTGCATGGTGAACTTAGCTCAGATGCATACGTGTATACCAAGTTCTTTTCTTCCCAAAGACAGCACAAATGCAGTTGATAGAATAACTATAGTTTTAACTCCAATCTAGCAAAACAATGGTTGATAAGAAAAGAAAACAATGAAAAACTATAAACCTTGCCATCAAAAGTACCCAATTAAAAACAACCCGCAAATCGTGCGGTTACGTCTTGCTACATGATTGTTACGCCGCTCTGGCAGGTGTAGGTAACTATGGTGGCGCGTGGTTCGACTGTCGCCAAGCGTGGCTGAACTGCCGTGGTGTATGTATGTATGTATGTATGTATGTATGTATGTATGTAGGTATGCATGTATGTATGTATGTATGTATGTATGTATGTATGTATGTATGTATGTATGTATGTATGTATGTATGTATGTATGTATGTATGTATGTATGTATGCGCCATGTATGTATGTATTTACGACCGTGGGCGATCCATACATGGCGTGGCGAATACTACCCCGTGGTTGGTGGTTCGACTGCCGTGGCACGGCTTGTTCGACTGCCGTGACGCGGCGTGATCCACCGTGGTGACGCGCCGTTCTGGCGGGTACGACTCACTCACCTCTAGGTCCGGATGGTGCGGACCGTGATTGTGGTCCCTGGTCTGCTGCATCAGTCCAGTTGCGGTAATACGCGACCAGCCCTGGCAGTACAGACCTTTAAACTTGGATAAGACGCAACTGAAACAGGGCAGCAAAGCCATAAACTGAGTACTCTATCTCAAACATTTATCTTAAATCGATCAATGAATCATCTCCTAACGGACGTTTGCGAAGACATATCAAAGCACGGGAAGATAATATCAAACCATAGACAGTTTCTATATCAGCTGTAGTCTATGATCAAAATAATGGACATTGGACATTACATCACCCGATTAACCCTGATGATGATCAGGGTTAATCGTTAATGATGATGATGATAAGGTTAATAAGATAATGATGATGACCCGATGCTGCATCGGGTCATCATATGACCCGATGCAGCATAAGTGATGATGCTGCATCATCACTTATGGCGATGCTGCAATAAGTGCAGCATCGCCGCACTGCCACATGCCGAATATGAAATGACTCTGCGAGAAGCACCGTTCCTACATCGCTCTGACGTAACTGGACCCGGAAGGGAACGTCTATCGGCAAACGGACCACCAATGCCACTTACATGAGCGAATTGTGACGCTTGAACATGTATATGTGTCCGTCAGAGGCCTCGTAAAGGGTTGACGTGTAGCGCCTTCCTCGAATTATTCTGTAGTTCAGCGCACGTTTCTCCTTATCTGGAAAGGGATGATAGTTAGAGAGAATGTTTAGGTGATGTGAACCACAACGTGGGGCAAGTACTTCGTTGTCGCTCATGGAATCTGAAGCAAACACGATATGTGAAAATGTGTGGTAATATGACGATGATACAGTATGATTGGACAGGTAGTGAAACTTATCCAAAATTAAAGCTACCATTTCGTGTTTATGGCGATCATCATTTTAATATAAAACCACGATAATACCTATACAGAGCAAAGCACTAACCATTGCGTATGTGCAAAATAAAACCCGATCAAACTGCACCCACTGAACAAGCCATACACACAACGAAATGAACACCAAGTTACGGAGGCGTGTGTCTAAAGTAGGTAATGAGCTTATCATCAACTTGCGTTCCAGTCCATGTGCCCATAAACATCGCAAACTAAGCAGAATTCTGAGCTCACCTTGCGCTGCCTCCAACGTTAGATTCAGTTTCTTCATCTCGGCCCGCTCGAGCTGTTTGACCTCACGCAGTTCGCGCATCAGTCGATCCACCTCATTGCGCATGTCACGCACCTTCGCCTCGCGCCGGCGGATCTCTTCCTCAAGATCCCGCCGGGCCAGAGCGATGGCCCTCAGAGCAGCCGAGCTCTCTGCGGACAGGACCGACGTGAAGTCAGTGTTGCGTTACAAACATACGGTTTGTTTGCCATGATGGTCATGGTGGGCAGATTCAGAGCAGTTAGATAGTTCAGTCGCGGCTCCTGATTCGTATGTGCATTAAACATCACTGAAGGTATTAACAATAACTCCGTTGAACAAATGTGCATTTGTACTTCTACCAATGGTATCACCTGCTCTTCTAAGGTCGTTTTCCCAATCCCACCTATGAAAACTCCCTTCTCATCATTCGCCTACCTTTGCGTAACTCACTCCCCACTCCCCAGAGGGCTGTTCACGGGCCCTGTGTGCGGTCGGACCGCACACAGCCTCCAAGCTCCGCCCACTGCGTCCCTACGTCAGCCTTCCGTCACCGCACACAGCGATCGCTGTGGCCGGTCGGGACTGGCCACAGCGGACCGTCCACCGCACGCAGCCGTGACGTCAGAGCCGCCTACCCATCCCCTACCCCCACGCCTGCTGGACGCACCGCACACACCGCACGCAGCAGTGTGCGGTGCCCGTGAACACTCCTCAGGCTACCTACCTTGATGGACCCGGGAAAGATGCTCGTTGACAACTTCGTCCGGCTTGACCGGCGCAGTGTAGTCGGAACACTCGAAATCGGCTCCGTCAGACTCCGCCGCGTCTATCGACTCCGGCTCCGGCTCCGGCTCTGAGTCCGGGTCCGGCTCTTCTAGGTCCAGAGTGGAGTCCTGGCGAGGCGTGTTGAGATCGACAGTGGTATCTGAAAAGAGGAGGTAAGATGAAAGCTACCGACTGTTCAGCGTTATTTTCATTCAGGCAATGGTAGGAGTTACCACCGTTCGGCCTGATTTTACGCCCAAGGCTGATTTTCAGTAACTGAAACATTTGGTACATCTACCGTTCACGTCATATTACGGTGACACGCCAAGAATAGAGATTCATATTCAAAAGTCGAGGAGATGGCCGCAATACGCATGCTTCATGGGCAGCGCAGTCAATTTGTGGAAAGGCAGAGTGAAGTAACAAAAGGCGAAGGTGAAAAAATGGGTGATTAAGTGAAATAACAAGGAGAAATACCAGGAAACTATGTACATATATAAGCAATTACCAAATATCTCCACTTCGGTTGACGCAGCAGGAGGCCCATCCGAGTCCGCTTCATCCCGATTGTCTAGACGTAGGGAGTCGAGGTCGGTCGCGAAGTACACCAGCGACTGACCTTGACCGGCCTCGGTAGGTGCAGGTCCTAAAACGGCATCAGGGCGCGTGAATGGCATGTCATGCGCAGTGCACAATTCATTTTTAGATAGGTATGAGTGACAGAGAATGGTAGTTCGACTTCACATCAAAGTCAAAAGATGACCATTAAAATGTTCATCTGATAAGTAATAAAACATAACTCTTTGATAAGCACACATAAACATACTCATACACTATTTTCACAAGCAAACTGCAGCTGCCACAAGCTGTCAGAGTACCCACCAGAGGTGCCATGCCGGCCAGCAGCGGATGCCACGCTCGGTGTAGGCACTGCCTGTCTAATCGGGGCCAGCTCGACCACCTGGCTCGTCTCGCCCTGATCATCGGTCACTGTGCCCAGTTGACCAACGTATACGGTCTGCGACTGACCCCCCTGTAGCGAGCTAAATATATCCGACGTGGCCGGCAGAACGTAGACATTGTTCTCGTCATTGCTGCTCACAACGCCTTGTTGCACCTTTCTGGCAGAACTCATGGTTGGGCGTGCATCGGTCTCCTGGGGATGGAGAGATACGAGATAGGTCAGTGTAACACACATGAATGGGCTTCTCATGTAAATATTTCATTTGGTTTGAATGTTTTATGAATGTTTCAAAGCTCTTTCAAAAAGCTCAGTGGAAGAGTGCCTGGCTCGATCTGAACTCGCCGGTGATGGGAGCAAGAGTTCGGCCACTTAGGCGCATGCTATTTACTATCAGAAATCGAAATGTCTATACACTCTGATCAAAATCGTCCGTAACTCTCCGCGTCCACCGGCCAATCTCCGTACGCACACCTTCATGTACATACGCAATGTTCATCCGCATTGCTTCATCCACACAAACCCTTGGGCCTCCATCAAAAATATTCTTTGAATCAGGGCTGCGGAGTCGATGGATTTTCGGCGACTCCGACTCCGACTCCGGCTTTCAAAAGCCAGCTCCGACTCCGACTCCGACTCCGGGCAGAATTGTCGACTCCGACCGACTCCAACTCCCGACTCCGACTCCGCAGACCTAGCAGGGCTGCGGAGTCGACAGATTTTCGGTGACTCCGACTCCGACTCCGGCTCGGGTTTCTAAAATCGACTCCGACTCCGACTCCGACTCCGGTCACAACTGTCGACTCCGACCGACTCCGACTCCGACTCCGACTCCGCAGCCCTGCTTTGAATACTTGGCTACCTACCTACATGAGCCATGGCAAGATGGTGGTCCTCAAGCCCTGCCATTGACCATGCACAAGTCCTCCTGCTACTAAGTGACAACGCTAAAGCCTCACATGAGCCGAGCGCATCTCGTTTACCAATGCTGCACAACGCAACAACCTCAGACTCTTTGGAGGCAACGTAACGTATTAGTTGCGTCGAACATACCAGATAAATCGTTTAACTGCTTGAGGCGGTGGAGCGGTGGTCTACAAGCCCTCCCATCGGCCATGCCCAACACCCATTTTTTATCATCCTACCGACCGCCGGCGCCACGCAGAGCCGATCGTGACAACTGGATCGTGACAACTGACACCTGACGACAGAGACGTCACCAGCCCAGGCGGTGCGTTTCGTGTTGTGACAGTGCGAACCTGCTACCAACCTGCTACCAGGGGACAGCGTGTAGTGTGGAAACGTGGGTCGGGCTGTGTCATCCCTCTCCTGTTCCATGCCACCCAAGCCTTGGGGGAGGGGGGGGGGGGGATGCACGTATTTGTGATTAGGGTTAGTCTCTCGTTGGGGAGCCGGTTTCCGTAATTAGCCTGCATGCAGTGGTTTCGACTAACCTCTGCCTTGTCACAGCAGGGAACAACCACGTGATCAATGGAACCACCAGCGTTGGCATAGTCTGTTCTGACCACCGCACACTCGTTTAGGCTTAAGCTCACGCTGAATGAATGTCGAAACTCCAACAATGTTTTTTCAACTTATCTCATCTACCTCACCTCATGTCTGTCACCAAGCTGAATCCCCACCGCACCAAATCTGCACCAGCCGAAGAAGCCCGCATCGATGAGATCTTGTTGAAATTGTCAAGACTTTGTTGCCAATAAAATTGCCGTACTTTGCAGATTACTGAGTATGAGATACTGAAAGCACTGTCAATTGTCCTTTGGTTCAAAATTAGGTTCAGGAAAGACCAGACGGCATCAACAATAAGCACTGCCTAACACCATTGTTCCTGACAAAATCTTGCTCTTAGCCATCATTGCATGGCGATTGCAGCGGATTCCATAACGTATTTTTCGTCTAGCAGATTTTCGTCGGACAATTTTTCGTCCGCAGATTTCCGAAATTTCGACTGACATTGTTTCATCTCGCATTTTTCGTCTGTACATTTTTTCGTCTGTATATTTTTTCGTTTGTGCATTTTTTGTCTGGACATTTTTTTCGTCAACGATTTTTTTTGAAACACTTCCCTGGATATTCTTTGTCTAAAAAGGAAAGAAGAAACAAAAAATAGTAAAAGGGAAACATTGGGTGGGATGGCAAATACACAAAGAGCAGAATGGTTAGAACATAACCAAACCTTACCTTACCTTGGCTTCAGGCCTACAGCCAGATACACAACCACTTAGCCCGCGCCCTGCTGGGGGGGGGGGGTGTTTGAACAACCGCGCCGCCGTTTTTGGTACACCTTATCATACATCAATTCTACACATGTTGTGAAAATTTCAGACCAAGGTCATGAAAGGTCAGGTTACCAAGTCACTTGAAGTGACCTCACCTCATAAAAAGTTTCAATGTCTGCCATGCTACACTGAGTGACCGATCGCTTTGAAACTTTCAGCGATTGATAAGGGTAATAGTATCTACAAAATGTGTATCTCGGAATTTTGATATCGGTGACCTAAGGTCAGGTCAATTTTGCGACCTCCCCATTATAAGTCAATGGGAGAAAATTGAAATGCGCCTCTTTTAGACGAAAGACATTATAAACACTTCAAACACTGAATTACAAGTGGTTTAGACACACTGAACATGAAAATGGTGTCCGTGACCCCTATTTATGCCCCTGAGGTCATCTCAGGTCATGAATGGTGTCTAACAGTTTTTCACAAAAACTTTTGATAGAGGCATGCTAGAGCGGTGACAACGCCTTAGATGTGTTCAGCTCGACGATACGGATCGACTGATATGCAACATGACCCTTTCCGGTCAGGTCATGACCTTGACCTGAGGTCAAATTTTCAAGTTGACCTTTCAAGGTCAAGTTACAGTTCATTTGATGCGTCTTGACGAGAGGAACACGATGCCAGTAAAAGTAAGCTCGTACAGGGCTTGGGTCAAAAGTTATTGCAGAAAAACTGATTCCGAAAAAATCGGTTATTTTTGCTGTTTTTGCCCCCTGCAGGCAAAACCGTTGACGTTAGGTCAAATCTGAGAGAATTACTCAAAAAGGGCGTTAATAGGGCTATCGAATGCGCTTTTCCGCGGCGCTGTAGCTCTATTGGTTCCCGAGTTATGCATTGGCTTCCTGGAAATTGTCGACATTCGACCTGAAAATTGGCGTAATTTTGCCTACAATGACCTCTGGTGACCTGAACTTTGACCTGACCAAAAAAGTGACCTAAGTGATTTCGTCATTATTTTTGGCGCTCTTTCAAACGCCGCCTTCCGCATATCGCTACGTGGCCCAGGAGCCGAGTTAGAAGGGGGCCCTCAGCAGGGCGTGGAAATACAGGACCCCCAGCCGGGCACGGGTTAACCTAAAAATATTTGACTTACCAGTTACCATTGCCAGTAGTCTCTCCTAGTCCTAAAGCATTGCCTTTGGCACTACATTATTTCACCCCGAGTATTATTATGACGTCACTTGCCTCACAATTCAAGTTGAATACCTAGCATTTTTAGTATGTTTCAGTTTTCACTCAACCTTGGAGTTGTAACAGTGGATGCACAGACATAAAATTTATTGGACAAAAAATGTATGGACAAAAATATGTAGGCGAAGAAATGGGAGACAAAAAAATTTGGACAAAAATCTGCACACGAAAACTGTCCGATGAAAAAATGTTGGACAAAATTTTGACCGGACACCTTGGAGTGGGAATCGGGATTGACAAATAGGTACTATTGCAGAGACAAAACTCCCTAAATGTAAAAAGGAAAAATAAATACTAGAAAAGCAAGCATTCCATTGGCATCCACTGGCGGATCCAGGGGGGCAACCGGGCCAAAGTCGGGGCTAGGGGCGGCCAAAACATGGACGCCGGTGAAAACAGGGCGCCGGAGGGCATATTAGTCACGTGACATTTTGAAGTTCTCCCCCTTCACAGGCCTTCCAAATGCTAAACATCATGTGTAAATTTCACGAACCTTGATCAAATCGCCCCAGGCGCCCTGTTTTCACCGTCGTCCCAAAACATGTCCCCCATTTCCAAATCAAATTCCTTTCAAAATCTCCTCAGGACTGCAATTCACAAAAACGACGACATGCATGCAAGCATTGCAAGATAAGTCAATAAATCCTCACTTCCGATCCCATTTGATCCAAGTATATGAAAAGCGGGAAATTTTGTCATTGATAACCTTCGGAGACCCCGACCTTTTGGCCGGCTTTGGCCCCTCCCTTTGAAAACGGCTAGATACGCCACTGGACCGCCAGTGATTCCATCCACGCATAGGAAACGTGTTGGTGTCACGTCCGAACTTACAAAAATCTAAATATACAAGTTGAATTCTAGCACAACTGCCCCTTGAAGCTTTTTTTTCGTTCTTAGTAGTACCGTAGTACCTAGTTGCGCGCGAGAACGTTGCTTGGTGCTTGGTTGCTGTATTGGCTGGGCGTGTGAGTGGCGTGTGATAATAGCTTGTACAAAAAGACGGGAAAAGCGTTCTTAGGGCAAAGCTGTCAGCATCACTTGTGAGTTTCGTCTTCATTGCTCAATAGACCAATTTTGTTCTATAAAAGCTCCTCTAAATTTGACAAAAGCAACTTTTCCATTTAAAAGTTATCGTAAGCAGCTACATTGTTACAAGTACTTAGGTAGTTCTTAGATAAAAAATGATTAAATTGCGAGAAATTTAAGACCCCACATACAAGTAAACCAAATCCCACATCAATTTAATTGGCCGAATCCTGCTTCTGGCGTTTCGAAAAATGAAAAACCAACACGAAAGAACAGATCCTAAAAACTCGAGATGTCGCAGTTGCGTCAGTAATGAATCGATTGAACTAAGCCTGTTGCTGGATCTTGTTTCTCTTTTGACGTCAACAGTTTATAGCTTGCAATTTTTTTCTTTGAAAATTTGTTTTAAAAAGAGTCAAATTTAGGTGAAATTTAGCTAATTCAAAAGAAAATTAAGTCAATCCACTTAGCTTCACATCTAAAATACACCAGCCAGAGCACGATTACTTTTTGAGTTGCCAGTTTTATTTCAATCTAATGACGTCACCAAAATTATTTTAAAATGATTTTTCGAAACTATTTGTGTTTTTGCTCTGCCGGGGAGCCCGGCTCAAGGCTATATAAACCAGGTAGAACGCTCCGGGAAAAAAGTTGGAAACAATAAATTAGTTGCGGCATTCCCTGATGACGCGAATGTGGGTCAGCGGCCGCTAACACTGTATGAGGATGCATGCACGGAACTTTTGCTTATTGGAGATTGCGCTAGGCAGATAAATGTTAATGTTAGGATATGTTTCGAAAGTAAATTGAACGACGCTTCGAACGCCGTCAATGAATTTGCGATACGACGACTATTTGTTTAGTTAAAGCCGGCGAACTTTTACCTTCCGACCGCGCGGGGAGGCGATACGGTGCCACACTGACGGTTTTTACGATAACTCAAAATTCTTTTGAGCTTAAGAGCTGAAATTTGACATGTACAATCTTTTGATCAAGCTGGATCTTCTGGTACAAGTCGCATATTTAAGGTACGTCAGGTTGTTGACCTATGTTATTGCTCGTGAGCCTCTACACAGTCCAAAAGCAACGCAATTTCTGGACACTCAGTGCCAAAAAATCCTTCACAGAAAGATGACACTTGGCAGAAAGAAGAGCTGTCGGTTTCTTACCGTTCGTATGTGTCGTGTTTTCACAAGAGTTTAGTAAGGTCAGGTCCCTCACGTGACCTCCCCTCATAACTCAATAGGTTTACTATCATAGAAGCGTTTATCAATCGCCGGAAATCTTAGCCAATCCCACTGGACACTGGATCTATACCCACATGGGGCCCTCCTGACTGGCCACTCCCTCTGAAATCCACAATAACATTGGACTGCGGCCACGGTTATGTATTAATGCTTTTCACTAACAGAAATACAACAACTTCAACCAGCACAGTGCACGCCGCCACAACAGTCCGACCCACGTCCCTGATATCGACTAGCACCCGGCCGGATGCACATACGCGGAGCCAATCATTCCGAATGTGACCTGCAGCTTACAATTGCTGTGTCGCATGGCGCATGGCACAGGATGATTCCTAGCAGCTGTCGGGTGGAGTGGAGAAACAGCACGTTGCGACACACCGCGCCGGCGACAGAGCTCAGCAGGCCTGGTTGGAGGCTGGAGCCGGAGGTAAGGGCGGACACAGGCACAGACATTGCAGGACAAATAACAGGATGTCAGTTAGGGATATAATTCAAGACGAATGATTCAAGACGGCCTGAAATAATGCAAATTTTGCTCACTTGGATACCAACTTCAAACTTGACGTTTATAGCACCACGGAAACAATGGGCGCACAGGAAAGAAACAAAAGATGGGGTGTTTCTAACGCAAGGAAGTAAATAGAGGTTGCATATGATGGAACAGCCCGAAGTGCAGACAAGCACATATTTTTGGTAATAGCTATCAGCCTATATCAGCTGTCCTACTACTCTTCTCCCTTCATCAACTACTGGACACATCTGAAGCATCATATATATATAGGTAGCACCAATGTCCATAACAAATGCTTGGAAGTAGTTTTATGAAGCCAAGGGAAATACATGCTAACATGCCTACATCATGCATGTAAACTCAAAATTACACAGGCATGACAAAGGAAGCTTATGTAAAGAGAGTAGTTAGCAAAAGCATTTCATAGTTAAAATAATTCAAAACTGCACAGTGCACACAGGGCAAACATAAAAAGCAGTAAGTGTGCACTTTGCTGTTCAGTTATGCTAAGAAATAGTTCAAAACAAAATACATCTTTTCATGTTTACTGGTTTTTCTTCTATGCCACTTCACCCATATCTTGATTACAGATGGGCTGTTACTGTAGGCTGATGAAGTGACACTTGGTTGCCTTTGTGCGAGTTTCAGTTGCAGCCTCCTAGGTACTGCACTGGAAAGCAGATGAATGCCTCTGAAAGATAGGAATATAGGCAAAGTTAGCTGTAGTAGTGTCAATGATAATAGACATGACATTTTTGTCCTTTGACATACATTTGTTGAAGTAAAAAAAGGTACAAAATAAATTGGTTTGTTTCAAGACACGCTCACTGCACAAAGCCGCACAGACATTACACTGGCATATGAAATTGGTACACATAAAACTTGATGATTAAAAAGGTCAAAACTAGCAATAATAATAATTGAAGTACAAGTTACAATCACAATCATTTCATTTAAAATGAATTGACATAAGTCACAAGACGCAACGCTCCCATTCACTAGAGAAAAGTTTTTATGCTTTCATTATCCTCCACATATCAACCAGCTTGATACCAGGCTGTGCAATAGTGGGTACATAACCCCATGTTGCCATTTTATTAGAGCAAGTGGGGTTACAACAACAATGCTAATGTCAAACCCACATCTGCAACCCGTACTGCAGTTTCAATCACCTTACATGCACACCTTCTGGCAGTTTGATAGGCAGAATGGTCATTACTACCTTCTCCTCATATTCAACACATATTCCCTTTATACAGATACAGTTAAGACCTGGTTATGGCAAGCATTTTCGAGAAAAGATAGGATAAGAGTCCAAGACAAAGGTCGAGAGAAACAACACCAACATAAAACACCGACTATGTAGCACTAATACTGTCAAATTCATAAAAATATATACATGAGTCTTACTTACTTACTTACTTAAGTTGAACGGAATTTAGAGAGGCCAAAGGCCTGTAAACTACCGGTCCAGTCGAGCTTCTAGACGGATCATGTTAGGGCTCATAGGGCGCAGGTGGTGTGTATAGGAGATGGGCCCAGTGCTTGTCGAGACGATTCTTGAACTGGTTGAGAGAGTCGGCGCTCACGACTGCCAGCGGTAGTCCATTCCAGTCGTTGATGACTCTCGTTGAGAAGGCGTTTCGACGGACGCGTGAAGTTGCTCGGGGTTTGGCCAGGCGCCATGGGTGTCCTCTGGTTTCCCTGGCATGTGTTCTGTCGAAGAACTCTTCTGGCTTCAGATCCAGCTTCCCGTGTATCAGTTGAAAGACAGCGATCATGTCCCCACGTCGACGTCGGTATCGCAGCGAGGGCAGCTTCAGGGACTTCAACCTTGCTTCGTATGGCAGGTGGCGGATGTCTCGAACCAGCCTCGTAGCCCTGCGTTGGACACGCTCGACACGAAGCTGATCTGTCCGGTTGAAGGGGCCCCAGACGATATTACCATATTCGAGATGTGGGCGCACCAGCGTCTTGAAGAGCAGTGGCAGGGTCTTCTGGTCCAGCAGGCAGAAGGATCGACGAATCACCGCCATGATTCGCGAAGCCTTGCTGACGGCCGCTGCTGCCTGCTGCCTGAACTTCAGGTCCGAGTCGACGATCACTCCCAGATCTCTCTCCTCTGTCACCGCCTGTAGCGCTGTTCCACTCATGTAGTAGTCATGGTTGGGTGCCTGACGGCCGATGTGCAGGATCTTACATTTGTCAGCGTTGAAACTTAGTTGCCAATCCGTACTCCACCTTGTAGCGGCGTCGAGGTCGGACTGTAGGGAGAGTGCATCCTCTGGATTTCGGACGGCCTGGTAGAGTTTGCTGTCGTCAGCGAAAATTTTGACATTGCAGTTCAGGACGCTAGGCAGGTCGTTGACATAGAGCAGGAACAGCGTTGGGGCCAACACCGAACCTTGCGGGACTCCGCTCGGCACGGGGATCCAAGCCGAACGGGAGTTGCCGACAATCACTCGCTGCTTCCTTCCCACCAAGAATGCCTCGATCCATCGGAGCAGCTTTCCTCTGATTCCGTGCGCTGCCACCTTATGGAGAAGCCTCCGCGTCGAGACAGTGTTAAACGCCTTGGCGAGGTCAAGGTAGAGGACGTCAATGGGATGGCCGCGTTCGATCAACCTGCTCCATTCCTCAATGGCGATCAGCAGCTGCGTGGCGCACGATCTGCCCGGGCGGAACCCGTGCTGGGCGTCGGAGATGAGGTCTTCGGTTTTGAGGTGGTCCGTGATCTCGTCTCTGATGATCGATTCGATGACTTTGCATGGTATCGACGTCAGACTGACGGGTCTGTAGTTGTTCGGATTGTCCTTGCTGCCCTTCTTGTAGATAGGGATTACGTCGGCCAGGGACCAATCCTCTGGTAGGACTCCAGTGTCGAGTGTTTCCCTGTAGATTGATGCAAGCTCGCTGGATACCGAGTCCCTGATCTCGTGGAGGACGCGAGGGTGAAGACCATCTGGCCCGGCCGCAG